AGATTCAACAGTGACCAGGAGGAAGGAAACAAAAAGGAGCAAAGTCGCGTGCGCGACTACCGCGTAAACCAGATCCGGCAAAATTTACATAGCCGCGCCGGATTTGACCTAGTAAACTTGCCAATAAAGGAGGCTAAACGAAAAAGAACATCATTTCTTGTGGACACGGGATCCGCACTTAGTCTCGTAAAAATACAAACATTAGACGATGATACCCCTATGACTGCAGAAAAATTGACGCTAACGGGTATCACCGGACATAAAGCTTTCACTATAGGAAAAATAACCGCCACTGTCAGTTTAGGAAAACAGCGTCGGAAATTTGAACTATTTGTCGTACAAGATGATTTTCCAATCGAATACGAGGGGATCTTAGGAATAGATTTCCTTCACGAACACCGCGCTAAATTTGACTATAAAACAAGAACAATGACGGTTTCCGGACAAAGTCTACCGCTGATACCACAGCAAATGTACAACCTCCCCGCGCGCAGTGAAGTAAGAATACGCGCCGCGGTGAACATAAATCGAGTGGGAGTAATCCCAGATGAAGAAATTTCGCAGGAAATTTTTATTGGAAATTGCCTAGTAGAACTTGACAATTATATACATCCTACAACAATAAATAATGCCACCGACAACCCTGTCGGGATAACCACACCTTACGTAAGGTTAGAGGACACTACGGCGGGCGACAATGAAATTGACAAAGCGCCTAAAGAAATCAAGAACATGGAGAAGCAGAAAGCGAAGTCTCAGAAGGATAAGCTTAAAGAGCAGAACAAGTCTCGAGAATCCGTTATCAGGACTCTGGACAAATCTAAGGATGAAACGGACAAGAAACAGATCAATTCAGGCGAAAAATCCAAAGAAGCCGGAAAATCTAAAATAGCGGCAAGAGCAAAAGAAAACACCCCAGTCATACAAAACATATTATCAAGCCAGGTTAAAGCGCCAGATCAAAGTACTCTTAAGGATAACATAAAAATTAAAGATGGTAACCATGACACGAAAGAATTGAGCTCCAAAGGCGAAGAGAAAAACCGGAAAGGTAGTACCAAAAAGGAGCTGAAAATCAACCTTATATTACCGACGATAGCCACGTTAATCATAACAAATCTGATACTAAGACTAAGCATAAGAACAAAGCGGGCAAGAATATGAAAGAAGGTAACGGAGAAAGCGCAGGGAGTAGAGTTCAGCAACAAACAAATATTCCGAGCGATGACACAAAAGAGAAAATAAATATCGTCGACGAAAGCAGCTCGATGGAAATTGCAAAATCATCGGACACTCAAAAGACTCCGTTGGAAAATATAATTGAGAGACCAAGCGTGACTACGAAAGCCGAAAGCACGACAAGACAGAAAGACACGTCGAAGAAAGAACCATCATCGAAGAGCAAAACAAAGTCGAAGGAACTGAAGCTTGAAGTCGAGGGTAATAATAAGAATCGG